ACAAAAATGGTAATGTACATTATTGCTTCAAAGTTGAATTCAACTTTTGGAACAATTGGTAATGCCATGGCCGATAAAATGACTGCAAAAGTGGTCAGGAGAAACTCAGAGCTTTCGCTTTAGTGTGAAGAATTGATTTGAACATGCGATCATGCAGCGAAGCACGTCTGTGAAATTTTGAACATAATTATTTTTTGCTTTTAAATAGGTTTCTTTGCTTCAGCTTGAATGGAAATTTATTGTTATTGAACTTCCTTTCATATTTCTTTTATTTGGTGCCCTGTTTTGGGGAATTTTAGGTTTCAAAAGTGAACAGTATTTTCACACTCTGGATTTCTGCATATTTAATTTACGCCGACCGCCATGGTTTGTTTGATTAGTTAATTCGCTTTGTTCAAATGTATTTTTTGGAGTGTTATTCAGCTACTACAGAACTGCTGAGAAAAGAACTAAGTGGCCACTAATTTAGCACAGTTGCAATATGATAGATCTCGAAATAATTAGCTTGTTTTTGTTGCCTTTTTGACTTACAACTTTCATCTTTCTTTCGTAGCACTGTAATATTTCGTCGCACAGTAAATAAATTATTTGATTTCTTGTTTGAAATTGGTTTTTAAATGTGCCTTTCGCATTTATTTTCCATTGTTTTGTCAAATGCGAGCCATTATAGTACAAGAATGGAAATTCTGTTGTATCTGGTTTCAATCTGTCCTCTGAAGTCTATAATGACTCATTTTTGCATTATTCAATTTTCTCGGCTTCTGTTAGACATTTTGTTGGGGGGCAAAGAAATAATATAATTTCTTGTTTTCTCATCAGTTTTAAACATCAAGTTGAGTTCTTTTTGGTGACATTTTATTAATATTTTGGCCCTTCATTTATTCAACTTAGAATGAACAATGTCTTAAAACCTAATCTTTTGTGTGTGGTTACTGCGCATATGGTTTATTTTTAGCGCTTGTGCTTGTCCTAAAATGTTCAAAAATCGCCAGAAATTTAGGGGTGGGTTGCGTGCAATTTCATTCAGGCATCAATGGGTTAAATAGTTATGCATGTACATGTAACTGAGCTAAAGACAATTTTAGCATACGTGTACTTTGCTCTGAGGTACAACTGGAGATGTTCTGATGGTAGTGCTCTGTTCCATAGCTCGTCGCATTTGGAAAGACTACTTTCCTGCAGTTAATGGAATAGTTTTCATCATCGACTGTGCTGATGGAGAGAGACTTCCTGAATCCAAAGTCGAACTAGAGGTTTGTTTAGCACAAGTAATAGTAATATTTGCACTAAGTGGGGAATTCAGGAGGTAATCGTACAAGTACCTGTAACTTGATGTGGCTCAGCATGATTACCTTCTCAATTGTACCGCATGAAGTCCAGTTACTACATGCAGTAATTGTATCAACTTCTTTTGAATGGAGCAGAGTGATAATTGCATTCGACGAAGTGGAACGCAAACCTAATTTTGACCTGTGGCTTTCCAGAGTTGGTTTCCCTGTGCACAGTTATAGGCCGAAAAAACCACATTCCTGTAAGGACACCAAAATGGCCACCCTGCTTGATTTTTGCAGGGGCATGTTACGGCCAGTAAACTGGTACCGTTTAATGCTAAGACATGTGATAAGACACATGGCGAACATGTGAGTATGTGAGCAGGCCATGTGAGCTCGTCTTTCCGATGGATCTTTCTTTGACTTCTTTCCATTCAGTCGCCATATGCTCCACTATTATGTGCTCTCAGCATTAGATTTTGGAGAATTTAAATGCTTCGACGGTAGCATTTATTGAAATCTGAGGGAATTGTCCTTGTTTATTAACACGACTTGGCTTTGGGATGATGACCGTGGGAACAGCTACAGTTTGATTGCATTTGTTGATTAGTTCCAGTCGCGACAGATAGCCAAGTCTTTATCTGGTCAAAATCCATAAGACTACTTTATTCATCGGGGGAAATACTCAAATTAGTCGCATCAAGTTTGTTTACGATAAACGACCATAGAAACAAACACGGGATTGCAAATGCTAGCTTAGAATAATGTACATAATTTAAATATTCTATGAAACTTGAGAGTCTACAGAAACTGGTGGCGTCACGTAACGTATTAACAAATCATGACCTCTTCACTAGCATGGACTTTGACACTGTATGGCAGCCCAGAAGGGTCACCTACCATTTTTATTTTCTTAGTGTTTGTTTTAATTTTTGTTTTCATTTTCGTTTTTTGTTTTTTTTTTTGATTTTTGTTTCCATTTTTTTGTGTGTGTTGTTTTTATTTTTAATTGTTGTTTCCGTTTTTGTTTCTTAAATTTTTGTTTTTGTTTTGTTTTTGTTTTTCATTGTCATCTTTTCTTTTCTGTTCAAAAAATAAAAATGCAAACAAAAATAAGAACAAAAACAAAAATTAACAGAACAAAAACGAAAACAAAAATTAAAAAACAAAAAACAAAAACGGAAACAAAAATAAAAAAAACAAAACAAAAATGAAAACAAAATTGCAAAAGGCCAAAACAAAATCAGTGAGTATAGACCATCATGCTTTGCTGGCAGTATCCATGACAAGACCGTTGTGTGATCTTTTGGCCGTCAAGCGTAGTCACGCATCGGTTACTATAAACTCTATGGCCATTTCATTGCTGGTCTACTTGTCATGGGAGAAGAATACAGCAAGTACAAAGGTCACAAAGATTTCAAGTAAAGTCAAGAATATTTCTTCATCGACTTCCTTAACTGGTAAAAAGGTGTTAAAAGGTCGTTATATAAATAAAACAACCCTCCAAGTTGCGACCATTTTAGTCGCCATGGCGACTAGAATTTTGGAGTTGGCGACCAAATTAGAGCGCAAGTCGCTAGCTTGCCGACTAAAATTAACGTGACCTATGCGTCAGGAGCTTAAGCAGACTATCATCCGGAGCGAAAAGAAAAACGTTCTGAGCATTAAGAATTCACTTTGCAAAGCTAGTTGTTGTGGGATTTTAACCAACAGAAATGGAGACT